TTTCCGGTGCACAAGCACTTCTACTTCTGCTGCTATTCTAGATGTCCACAGAAACACTCCTACAGATGCCCAATTTGACTTAGTGTGCAAATCCCTAAAGTGCCAGCTCACCACGAGCCTGAAGAATGACCGTGAGAAGTGGTGGGTATCGAAAAGTAGAGAAATGGCGAAGGTTATGGGTATTGGTACCAGTTGCAATCTTTTTCCTTTAATTAGGAGTACGGGCTCGTGGAAGTTAGGTGTGAGATAATTAAGGAATCCAACGGCACATTGGTTCATCATCAGCAACGCCGTCTTGATTGATGGGCTGGACGTTTCGAGGTTCAGTTCAGCTGTCCCCTCAACATTGGAGCTGTCAACCCCCACCTCGACTGAGAAAATACTCCCAGTTGATATCAGTCCTCCATTTGAAATAGAGGTTACACGGGAAGTACTTTTTGTCGAAAGACAAGGCTTCCGACCCAGATAAGCTCTTCCCCTCGACTTGTAAGGATAGAGGCTCAACGTTGGTTTCAGAGCTGAAGAAATTCCTGGGTTCGATATGGGAGAGGGAACAGGTTCCAAATGAATGGCGTGAATCATTCATTTTACTAATTTAATGCACAACGATGGGTCCTCTTGTAAAAATACCAGAGGAATTAGTTTGATCAACATTGCCTCTACACTCCTTGCTGGCCTCATAATCCATCGATTGTGTGCCGCACGTGAACGGTGCAATCATGAAAACCAGGCTTGTTTTAGACCTGGTCGAAATTCATGTTTTGTTTTTTGTTTGAATCGTTTGAGTGGTTTTTCCCCTTGATAGTCACTCCTCGCACAAGTTTATTGCATTACCTGATATGATAATGAATTCACTCTAATGATGCAATACTTCTTGTTATAGATAGTTTGAAAATAGGTCATCAGTCGGAGATGAACTGGTTAACCACCGAACTTCTTGAATTCCTACCGTATGAAGTCTTCCTCTTTTTAATTAATTTTTAACCACTACATAGACCCCTCCCTTGATCGTCTCTACGAGTTCCGGTTCTTATTACCCTTCTTCGACAAATTCTACAATCGATTACTCAGGCAGGAGATCTTTGTTCGCGTGATTCCCAAAGCATGCTGTTCACAGATAAAAGAGTTTCAACCCTATTGTATATCGTGAAAAGTGTCCACTGAGGCGTGGTATTCTCCGTGTGAGATGTCGCTTACTTCTGTTCTTCTTTCCTCTGTACAGTGATTGAACCATTTCCCCATTTAACTCAGGGCTTCCATTGGCCGATAACTTGAAATATCTTCACGGCTGCCACATTGCCGTCGGCACTCCGGGACGCGTGCGATATTTGATCGAGACGGGTTATATGCTCACTGAACACATTCGACATCTGGTTCTGGATGAGGCTGATCTATTATTGGCCGGCGGTGCCGAGGCCAGTATAACGGGAGGGAGTGCAAACAACGCTTTCCCGGCAGACATAAACTACATCTGGTGGAGTCTGCCCCCGGAGAAGCAGATGATGGCTTTATCGGCCACCTATACTGATTACTTGGTCGAGGAACATTTGCAACGATACATGAATAACCCGGTTTTGATACGTCTGGCTGCGCATGATCCGGCATTGTTAGGTACTTGTCTGTTCTACTTGCTCGTACGCTCACGTACATGTCATTTTCATTAATTCACATAAATCGATGTTTCTTTTTATTCGTTCGGTGGTTAGATTAAATAAGTTTGAATACGTACAGTGGGTTCAGAATTAAAAGCCTTAACCTGAAACAGACTACTTTGACGTTTGTATTAAGCATTTAAGCGTCAAGTACACTTAGGTTATTTTTGTCAGGATGAACTGAAGGTTTTCTAAATTGGAGAGCGTCCTCGTACAGTGAAAGCCGGTGATTAGAAGTTCACCGATCGCTGGAAAATGCTCAGAATCTACATGAAGTGAATGAGAGCGTTTCACAGTACAGAGATAAACGGTAGCGCCTTGCAGATGAAAGCAAAAATCCAGTGCCTAACACTTGCTCAGTGACAGTCAAAATCAAAATGAGATATCGAGCTATGTCCTTCTACCTGAAAACTAAATGTACAAGATATACAAAGGTTTGGCACAAACATGTTCTTCTTCGGACTTTTTTCTGTTGACAAACCTACCCGACGTATTAGAATACTAGATACTAATAAAGTCAACCCATAAATCTGTCCTCATATCCCACAGAATGATCGAAGGAGCTAGAGAACTCGATAAGATCCATCTGTTTGAATACAAGGAGCGATAAAAGCAGGCAATTGTGCGGTTAGTTAATTATCCTCCCGGACAAAAGAATTGTGGATCCAACTGTGCTTTACGGGGTTATATTTGGATGTAAAAGCGCTTCTATAAGCCTCGAAAACTTGTGCGCTTTTTCACTGACATTTCGTGGTTGATCAAGGATTACCCTACCCCTCTTTGTTCCTCCTCTATCGATTAGCCGGGTTAATGTGGGGATAAGATAATCACCTTGTTAGGAAATGTAAACTGAATCACTACAGCAGGAAAGGTATAAATCGAAAAACCTTCCCATGGAAATATGGCTGTGCGAATCATAGGTCTCCATCCAAAATTAGTGGATTCTCAAGAAATTAATTCGATACAAAAACGAATCATACGACAATGCGGATGCTGAAAGAGAATAAAAGTGTTCGTATTCCTATTACCAGTTTCATTTGTTTGGGTGTGAATAATGCAATCATGTGATCCGTTCTCAATTAGGAATTCATTTTTGATCAACCTAAAAAGTGCAAGAGATCGATTAGCTTGACTCCCGCTGTCTCATTCTGCTACTTCTTCGGTCGTTCCGGCTGATGAACTGGTCGCAATTCATGCAAATGTCTCGAACGTCTAGGATGTGCTGTCGAGCGAATAAATCTCTTTAATTTCACTGCCTTGCATTCCTCCCTCTCTCTCTTCCAAATATTGAGTGTCTTCCGGAATCCCTCCCGTTTGGTGATTTTCAGGTGTTCGGCAATTCTTTGCGGTAGTAGAACCATCTGGTCGTTCACCCGCCGCGGTGTTTGCAGCCAAAATCGCCTATCTGTGTAAGCTGCTCAGCTCGGTTGATTTCCAACAGTGTCTGATCTTCTCCAACTTTCATAGCAGGTCAGTGTGCGATCCCATCGATTTTTGCGCTGCTCTCATTTGTGCTGTTATTGTTTCCCGTTTCGAGACTTTTTGTTCTACCTACATAGCAGATTGAGATTATTCCCATCACATTTAACGTTTGACGATTGGGGTGTTTGACCCCTGACACTTGATTCATATTTGCGCGGTCGGAACCAATTGTTACTAACACGCACTGTACTGAAAGAGATGCCCAGGCTAGTACGAATCGATTTATAGACGATCATGCAATTTGTTGATCTGTTGGAGGCGGTCGATTAATTTGTTAAAGGGGAGAACAGAAGCTAGCAAACAACCGTGTTTTCAGCACTTAATCATTTGCCGAAACATAGCCGTTTTTCAGAACTAACCAAATGTGAGATGGATGTGGGGTGACAACATGTGGATCATACTGCTTGAACATGACGTTGATATGAAGGTTGATACGCATCTTGCGTGTGTGTATGAAAGAGAGTGATTTAAGGTTAATTAAAAAGAATTACACCAAAAGAACGTAAATAAATATCTGTTAACCACCTCGGGAGGACCGGATATACACTGTTACAAATTGCTGCTTTCCCTTTTTCGCAATTGTGCCATTCACTCCTCCCCGTCATGGTGATCAACGACGGCTTCTTGTATTTTCGAGCATAGCTGTTTCCGAAACATTGTCCATGCTTGATGGTTTCGTCGTTTGACCAATCACGAGGATTAATGATGGATTCTGGGCTGGGGTAATTTTCAACTTACCCAAATGAATGGGGCAGAGTGACATGTATTTCTCCGTTTTACCGAATCGATGGTTGTTCGCTAACTCTACGGTATGTCCGATGAAGTGTTTTGGTGATCAGTTCATTAAGCGGCATGTACATGCATGCACATGCACCCGCAGAGACCTTCAAAGGATATATA